CGAAACGTTGACAGTAAATCAATAAATAAATGAAGAAATTGTTTATTAAAAACTTTTCTTGTTTTTTTATTACTTTTGGATTCTTGTTTGAAACTCTACGAATATATATATATATATATATATATATATATATATATATTAGGTTGTCAAATATCACCCTTCCGCTTTTTTGCTATTGGTTTATAATACAAAAAGGAGATATTTGACAACCTATATATATATTATATATATATATATATATATATATAATATCCTGCATACTTTATAATACTTTTTATCCATTACAGTTTCATTTATCTCGATCCCTTATCCCTTAAAGTAATAAATTCATAAGGTCATTGTATAATAAGATGTTTGTATCATTTATTTTTCTAATAAAGCTTTAACGTGCTCACAAATCAATCAATCAAACTCCAAGTCCATGTTGTAGTCTCTCATCGGGCCCCCGTCTTGTTGTTGTTGATTCCTTCTACTGTTATTGTCTTCTTCGACATTCTGTGGTGGTTCGATACTTGAAGTTGTGACCGTTGAAGTGGCACTTTGTGAAGTTGTGCTACTACTCGTGTCACTACTCCTGCTGTTGTTTGAGCCGATGTGTTGTAAGAGGCCTGCTATTTGGTTTTGCCCTGGGAGGAAAGATTAAGTGGGATTAATTTTCTGGTTATTACCAATTTTTTGTTGAAATCAATCAAATAGGATTTATCTTTTGGTTGAAGTTTATATGGAACTAGTTGTGTATGGCATCGTGCCTTAAAGCAAATTGCTGGAATTTTTGGTACCGTAATGAAATATTCGAGGAATATTAAGTTTTCAAAAACATTACTAAAAATACCGTAACATCGTCTAATGTTTACAAGAATTATATAAACTGAATTGCAATTATTAACTTCCCGTAGGGTAAGTTATTGTAATGGGCCGAAAATGGAAAATGAAAATTTTTACATTTCTCGACGTTTTGAAGGTTTCTGAACATTTTACTGGCATACCTCAGAAAAAATGGATGTGTGTGTGTGTGTGTGTATGTATGTATGTATGGATACAATTTTTCGCCCACGTTTTCGGGCGTACGGATCAACCGATTTGAATGGTTCAAAAAACTTTCGATTCCTATTGATAGGGAGATGTGCTGATTAGTTTTTGGCAAAGGCAGATACAGCCGTTTCGGAGATACGGGGCAAAGAGTGCAGAAAATAGAAATCAAGTTTTTGAGAGAACGGAGCGTCCGATTTGAATGATCTAAAAAACATTCAATTAGTAATAATTGGGAGAAGAGGTGATTAGTTTTTGGCAAAGGCAGGCCTAGCCATTTCGACGATACGGAGCTAAATATGTAAAAAATGGCAGTTTTTGAGAGAACTAAGCGTCCGATTTAAATGATTCAAAGAACTTTCTACTTGTCTTAACAAAATAATTGATTTTGGAAAAAAAAAAATTTTTGTTCTTTTTTTTTTTTTTTTTAATTTTTTGTAATAATTCAGATTTTATTTTTTAATTCTGACTATAGTTCTAATATACTTTGAACAAATAATTTCAACTCTGCAATTTGGTTTATATAATTCTTATAAATATTACACAAATGTTACAATATTTATAATAATCTATTTGAAAACATTCAATATTCCTCGAACATTTCGTTACGGTACGGGAAGTCCAGCAATTTGCCTTAAGGCACGATGCCACCCACCCCACTAGTTTATATTTCGAATTAAAATCTGAATTATTTTCGAAATACATTTTTTTTTAATTGTAATAATTCTTTTTTCAAAAGCAATTGTTTTGTCAACTCTAGCAGAATGTTTTTTGATTCATTCAAATCATATGCTTAGTTCTCTCAAAAAACTGCCATTTTTTGCACATTTTGCTAGCTATATCGGAAACGAATGGACCTGCCTTTTCCAAAAACTAATCATCATTTCTCCCCATCATTACGAATTGAATGCTTTTTGGATCATTCAAACCGGTTACTCCGTTCTCTCAAAAACTCGATTTCTATTTTCAAATTGAATCCAAGCCAAAGCAGAAAATCAAATCGAATTAATTTTCTGTTAAAATTTTACTTCAGAAACAAATTCATGCCTTGAACACACGAGGAAAATGAAATAGGTTCAATTTCCTGGCCACATTTTCAATCAAAAACAATTTTTGCCCAGGGAAAATCGAACACAGTTAATTTCCTGTTTAAATTTTACATCAGAAACATTTTTTTTGACCAGAAAATTTAATGTCTTGATCCAAAAGAAAAACGGAAAACCAAATAGGTCAAAACAATTTTTTTATAATAATTTTCAAGTCAAATTTTAAGTCAGCAACGATTTATTTATCTGGAAAATCAAATGGAATTATTTTACTGATTAAATTTTACGCTGAAAACAATTTTTTGACCAAGAAAATTTAACAGGATAATTTTCCTTGTAAAATTTAACATCAAAAACAATTTGTTGTTCAAGCAAAAAGTGGAAACTCAAATAGAATTATTTTTCTTGTCAAATTTAATATCGAAAACAATTTTTTCATCAAGAAAGTCAAATAGGATTATCTTCTATGGTAAAATTTTACACAAAACCAGTTTTTAGTTCTGAAGAAATATAGGAAAATCAAATTGAATTAATTTTCTGTCCAAATTTCACATCAGAAACAATTTTTCTGATCAAGAAAATCAAATTCAGTTAATTTCCAGGTAGAATAATTTCATATAAAAAACCATTTTTTGACCAAGAAAATCAAATAATATTATTTTACTGATAGAATTTTACATCATAAAGAATTTTGTGTCTTGAACAAAAGAGGAAAATCGAATA